TACCAATGCGATTATCCACATCATGGATTTAATGAAGTGCAGCTGCTTAGTACCTTCTTCAGAGGTATTGATCTACACTCTACAGTACCAGAGGGCGCTAGACACAACTAGTGAGGGAAATTTCAGTACCAGAAGTCAAGAAAAGACTACAAGACTGATTGAGAATCTGGCATCCAGCAACATCACCAAAAACACTGAATATCAGAGGAAGAAATCGGCCCCATCATTGAACATGGAGCATATTGATGAAGTCAAAGCTAAGCTGGATAGTGTTCAGAAGTTCCTCAGAAAGCATGTTTTGCAGAAGAAGTAGCAGTTATAGAGGCTGGAAGTGCAGAAGAGGAATTACATTGGTGGAAGTGGTTTCCATGGATATGAGAATCAGGGATACAAAAGAAACTCCTATGAAAATGGTTAGAAGGGTAACTACAACCAGAATTAACACCAACAGAGGCCTTACAGCAGCAACAACAACAACACTTCAATTGCGTTCGACCCACTTCTTCTCCAGCTTGTTTTAGATGTTCCTCGGTGTCACTTAGGTGAGAATTAAGCTCAGCATGCTCTATTACAAGATTAGGTTGATCTTCATGCTCCTCTTTGGTCCATTCGAGTCCATCCATGGTTGCATAGTCATTTAGCTCGATCAGGGTTGCTTCATTCCTTCCTTCTACAATAGGATTTGTCCTTAAATTCAAATCTCCTACATCAAAAAGAAACATGTTAAATTTAAGACAAATGATCAAGCAGAGAAACATGTAAGCATCATCAAATTAACATTTTGGAATGGAAATTCCTTGGACTTTTGATGCCGTTTTTCTCAAGTACTTCAGCTCCATATCTCAGACTGAAAGCATAGTGTTTGCTCTTGCTCCTTGCACTCGTTTTATATTTAACATATTCATCCTGGATAGTAAAAAAAGCCTAGATATACAGTATTATATGTGCAAAATATGTTCTTGTTCAGACCAAAAACCAAACTTTCTTTCCTTAGCACATGTATCACATGTTTCAGACATTCATGGCGCATAGCAGAGAAGGTAGTGTAGAACATAATGTTATCAAGGCACGAAAAAACTTGGTTCTTAAAGAAAAGTTCAAAACATGCTCAACTTAATTAGACTCAGAACACAAAAAAAAAATCTCTTACTTTGCAAGACCAAAACGTTTTACATCCTTATACTAATAATAACAAACATTTCGGGCACATAGATAACCATAATAAGCTCCTTAAAGTTCTCTTCCAGGTCAGGGGAAAAAGATTTAGGAATTTATTTGGTTCCAAGCTCATCAACTGCTCCAACACTTCTCCTTGTGTTAAACTCTTTTGTGTTGTTTCTGGTAAGTGTTCTTCTAATAACTTAGACACTGAGACAAGTCTAGTTGGTTTCCAAAGTTCAAAAAAAGTTAATTCATCACAGGTATTACTGATAATAAGTTCAGATTGAAGAGAGAAAAGAGAACACTTATATTTTGTCGCAAATTCTTTCCATACCGTACCATAGATGTTTCTGTTTACACTACAAGAAATATGGGTATTAGTAGCAGTTCACGGTAGCACGAATTCACGAACTGCTACCAAAAACATAAAAATCGGATCACAACTCTACCGTAGCATTAAATACGCGCTAAGAAAGAATTTCATTAAAGGGAAATGGGAAAATCGATTTTGTAACTGAAATATCATATTTTGGAGGCAAAACACTTAGGTAAAATTTTATTTTTCCGCCACTTAAACAAAAATTTTGTTTTTTCTTTCCAAAGAAAAAAAAAAAATCATTCATCCCTCTTCTCTATCTTTCTTCTCCTCCATTAACAGATCAAATTTCTCTCTCTTTAGGTTTTCTATCTTAAACTTCGACAAAACAAAGCCATTTCTCAATCAATTGAAACTCCAAACCCGAGTTACTATTACCTCAATCCCACCCCTGGTATCTCAATCTGAACCACGACTGCTCAAAACCGCGACACTACCTGGTCCCTGCTCGTTCCACGCCGTGATTACTCCGAGTTGTCCCGTCTTCTCCTTCCTCGTAGCTGACTTCATCCCCTCGACGATTCACGCCGTCGTCGTCACTATCCTGCTCAACTGTCAACCGTCGCAATTCTCAGCTAATAGTAATGCCCATCTTGACCTCCAATCGTCATCTGCTATCCCTCTACCGGCATCGTTGGGCTCCAGATCCGGAGAGAGAAAGCTTCGACCCTCTCCAATGGTGGAGTTTTACGTATTTGGAAGACAGGTCCCTCAACTTCTGCTTGTTTCTGATCTTTGTTTCTAGAGAAGCCCGAGTTTGAAGATGGTTTTAACCACGAGTTTAAGCAAATATTTGAGAATTTTAACTTCAGGGAACTTGATTCCTTTTGAGGTAAGACTCTTTTGATTCTTGAAACTGGAAAGTTCTTGTCTTTATAGCTAAAAAGTCAATCTGTTTTGGTAAGCTTGTTGTTTGTGTGCGTTTTGTTCTTACATTATGTATTATTGTATAAATATCACATTGTATGGTATCATTGTGAGATTTAGTTCAATATGGTTTCTCTGCCTTTGATTGTTCTACTAGGTGTTTCCCTTTTTTCAGAGAACAAAGTTATAGATGAATCTCATAGCTTGAATGTTAAGGACAAAGTCACAAAAACCCAGATTTGGGATACTGCTGGTGAAGAAAGGTTTCTTCTCGATCTGTGTACTGTGTTCTTTACTTCTTTGTTGATCCTCAATAACTGAATTGAAAGTTTAAATCTTTTGCTGTAGATTGGTAGAGAACTCTTACATTCATGTGTGTTGTTCTGTATGAAGAGCTTAAGCAAGCTTTAGATCTGTCTCTGTAGGTTTTTGAAATATGAAAATGATATAAATTTTTCATTTTTATTGATTATTTTTACCAATGAGTGCTTAATATATAGTTAGTAGAACAAAATTATGGCTTTGATGTCTCTGTTCCAGTTATGATTTGTGAGTTCTGATCTTTTTGGCATTGCTTTTCATTGTGTTCGTCTCTGTATCTATGGACGTTTGGGATCGTATGTATCTAGGGATGCTCTTTATACTTTGATAATTGTTACAATGCAATGCAAGCTGAGATCCATGTTTCGTTCTTGCTCTCTTTATGATCTTTTATGCAACTTTCATGTGACTATTTCCCAAGTATGAGGGTGATATTAATCTGATATCTAGCGTTGGTGGCTCTCTTGTTGCCTATTTTTCAAGTTTTCTGTTACCAAAATAAGCTTTTGTGAATTCTCTGTGACTTCCACTCTTTTGTTTGTATTGAGAAACTTCATTGCTTCTACATATTGATAAACAATTTGATAGCTTATACCACGTTTGATGGGTTTCTTCTTCTTGCAGAAGAGATATGGCGTTGTTCAAGGCTATATAAAGAGAGACACAATGATGTTGTTTTCATTGTTGGTGGAGCTCTTAGTTTAGATCAGTCCTTGTCAAATGGCCTGAATGACAAATTCTTTTTGTTTCTTATGGTCTTGTTTTCTTTGTGTTCTTGAAGGGTATTGTAAGAAATGGATAACGTCAGTTGATTGTCTGCTGATGAGGTTGCCTAAACTTGGTCATTCGTAGATCTCGCTGTCAACNCTGCTTGTTACACAAAGCTAGGAGCATTGCCAGAGGGATTGAAAGATGCTGAGAAATGTGTGTCTTTGATTGATTCATGTGTTTGGAGTGATTATTTAAACGATTTAGCTCGTTTACTTGATGAGCTAATAATTAATCTACTTGTGTTTTATTAGTATATATAGATTCCAAATCAAATTCCATATATATATATATATATTTCTTTTTCAACAATCAAATTCCATATATAAACTCCAAATACTTGTGTTTTATGAGATAAAGAAAATTTAACACTAATGATAAATTTGATAAACACAAAAATAATATTTTTTTACTTAATGTTCTAAACCCTAAACATGCCCTAAACCCTAAATACAAACTTTAACATTTATATTTTTAAACTGAAATTCATAAATATAAACCTCTAAATTTTATCTTTTAACTCCAGACTTTGTTATTAAACATTAAAGCCATTGTTTACATAAATATAAATTAAACACACAATCTGTAATTTTCAATTAAAAATACAAAATAAATATAAAAAATAGTTAATAAGTATATAAATATAAATTCTATCAAATTCTTACATAAGTTAATTTTCAAATTTAAAATCTTAACCTCATACTTTACATATCTAAACTCTAAACCTATAATCTAAACTTTATATCAGACTTCAAACCCTTCAAACCCTAACACTAGTGTTGTGATATATGGTGTGTATATATATCATAATATCATATATACATATATCATAACTCAAATTACATACAAAATAATAATCTTAGCTTTCAAATATATTTTAAAACTTAAACCATATACTTAATTTTAAATCTTTAACTCTAAACCATAAACCACAAATCTCATATCAAACTATATCATAAAACAATAGAATTTTAATTTTAACTATTTTAATTAATCACACAATATTATAAAATTTAGATTTCAAATTTAAATTATAATATCAGATTATTTATAGTTTTAGATAGTTTTTATAATAACTACAATAAATAAATAAGAAGACAATTTGTCTTGTTTTTATTGAGCAGTTGATCAAATTAGATCAAAAGTCCACAATAAATCTTCTATCAATCCTCCTCCTTTGTTCCTATTGGCTAGGCGCGGATCACAATTTTTCACCGTTAGATGGTATCTAATCTAACGTCTGAGATTAATTGCTTTTTTCATTTTTTTAAACCTAAAATTTAATCGCTGGTGAAGCTCCTCACCTCTTCTTCTTCTCTCTTTCTTCCTTTTCTTTTTTCTCTGTCTCTCTCTTTTCTTCTCAGATCTCTTTTTTTTTTTTGAGATCTATCTTAACCTCACTCACACACGATTCATCTCACATACATCTCTCTGTCTCACTCTCCTAATCTCTCTGTCTCACATACGACACATCTCCAACCATCTTCCGAAAGGCAGAGGAGAAGCGATGTTAAAGGCACGACAGATTCGTCGCTGGTCAAACTCTGCGTTGGCTTCACCTCCACATCACCACCGCAGGTCAACTCACTCCACCTTCCTCTTATCTGCTCTCTTCTTCTCGTCATGTTATATATTATGATTGACTTTTGTTTTGTTTACAGATTTATTAAGGAGCAAGGGAAGGAGAAGCAGTGGTGTTACATGGCGGCATATCCGGTCAAGCGTGGTGCAGCGGTGGTTCAAGCCGGTGATGAGGTGGTGGTCGTGCGGTGGAGATGCGAGTATCATGGTCGGCGGATACTGAAGAAGAATGTAGTTTAGTGGCTGTATTAGGTTTAGTTAGGGTTATTAGTTAACCAATATGTAATTGTAAACCAATGTAATTGTAAACCAAAATTCAATTTATAAAGCACAAATTTATTTATGTTCAAAAAAAAAATACAAATTTATTATTTTTTATCAACGAAACGTTTTATTTATAAATTAGACCAGATTAATAATAATAATAATAATAATAAGAAGAAGAAATTTTAATTTTTTTCTGCAAACGATGTATTAATTTTAATATCCATAGCATTGAAAATATGTCTTTATAGATTATGTTATAGCTAAATGAAAACGCCATAGAAAATAATATAGTAGCCAAAATAAAGTAAAACAATTTAATATAGTAATAGATAAACGCTATAATATCTACTTTTTATAGCATACGAAAAAAAGCAATGATAAAAGAGAGATCTACCATAGCTGCGGCTGTCACGGCGTTCTTCGAAACGCTACGAAGATAGCGTTTTTCGGGTGCTATCAATACCAATATTTCTTGTAGTGTTACTTCTCTTGGATAACCTGATCCTGCTTGCTACAACTTCTTGGATCATCAATTCCTGAGGAAAGTCTTGGGGTTGGGTTTCTTTTCTGTTTTTTCTCAAACTTGATCCCTGGTTCACTATCTTATTCAAGTAATCATAGAATTGTTGGTTACTGATTTCTTCATGAGTTCTTCTAGAGTATTGTGAATTCTTTTGTCCCTCACGACTATAGTAGGTCTTTTGCTCTGCTCTGGATATCCTAACACATTTCGTTCTCCTCCCATTAGGCGTATCCGGTGGCCTTTCAGATAGTTTCTTTTCCTCCACATAACCAAATTTATAAAAAGCATACGAATCTCTTTTTTCTCATTGATTTTTCTCTCGACGGCTGTATTTCTTGTAGAGTTAACTGGTTATAGTCTAAGTCCTTCTCAGGAAATATCCCACTGTCTGATCCATACATCTTGCTTCCTGAGAACATTTAAACAAAAGAATTCTCTTGCTCTCAAGGTTTAGGTGTTTTCACTAAAATTTTATAACAGTTCAACAACAAATAAAGACCAAACCAAATCACAGAGCAAACCCCCCCCCCCCCGCCCCCAAAAAAAAAAAGAAAAGAAAGGTAGGTGAGAGATTGACCAAACCAAGCTTTTCTTTTCTAGGATGATTGAACAAACGATATCTGATTTCTATTGGATGATTTCTTTTGATTTTTTTTTTAACTTTAGAATGTCTCAACCTAGCTACAAGAGATAAATATTTCTGAAAAAACTAACAAGAAAACATATATGAATTAAGAAAACCCTAAAAACAAAGATTTTTGAAGGAAACCCCTAAAAATCAGAAGTCCTTAAGCTGTTCTGATACCACTTAAAGAATCCTTGATCAGGATGAGTCCCTTTATGCTCTTGAAGGTCAATTGTTTGGATAAATTATGCAAGCTACTAACACTGTTCCAGAAGGTAAAAGGGTGATCGATGGTTTGAGATGATCTTCAATGTAGGATCTATGGAATGATCAAACACTTGCTTAGTGTCTAGGATCGTTAGAGGCATCCCCATGTTGATGATCTTAGACGAGTTGTTTACGATGGTTTTTCTCCTAGGCAGTCGATGTTCAAAGATGAAAAAATAGTTCACAGTTTTAAGAGATAGTTTTTGATAAAAATGTAAATGAATATTGTCTAGAAACATACAAGGAGTTTTATTGGAATAAATACTAGTCAAAACCCACTTACAAGTTACAAGTGTAGAAAACTAGGAATTGACTTAAACTAAAAAGAAAGAATTACACTAAGAGTCACTTTTCTAGTTTAGTATTACACAATAGATCATATCTCCTATATATTAATTGAGGAACATTTGAAAAGATGTAACCTCAATTTTGTATTAATTAAAAGAGGCTCCAATGCATAGGTGTCATTCAATTAGGTAGTCAATTAGATTCAATTGAAAAATAAGTAAATCCACAATGGATTTTTATAGGTTGCTAGATACATTAGTTAGTCAAACTATATGATATAGTGATATAATATGCTATTTTCTTTCCATAAATAAAACATACGGAATTACCATAAATGACTAATATATATATCATACTTAATGATTGTTCCCTAAAATAGAATTACTATTTTATTTTATTTCCATATATAAAACCTACAGAATTACCATAAATGACTAATATATATATATGACACTTAATGATTCTAATAATAAATATTTGATAACAGTTTATATATCCTCCATCATTTTTCTTTAATTTTATATTATTAAAATAAATTAAACAATCAAATTAGCTATAAAATTAAACTTTAGATTTTTTCGTATAGGTTATATTTTGAATTTTAAGAAACGAGAATA